GAATGTACAGTTTATTTAATTTTTTCTTTTCTTTCTTCTAGACTTTCTCCTTATTCCTTCATTCCACTAGTATTACCAGCAATATCTGCTCCTATCCTAGTTTCAACAGGAAAGCCCTTTTACATGTTTAATACCTTATCATCTACAAAAAGCTATCATGTGTTCTGATTTAGTCCTATATCAATCCTGAGAGTTGAGGAGAAAAGGCATTTTATTGTCAATTTACAGATAAGCATATCAAGATTCGGAAAAATTAAGTGATTTGACCATTTTTTAGGAGCAGACACAGGACTCAAACCTATCTTGTGACTCCAAAGGCAGTTATCTATTCCACCAGATCACAATCCATTTATAATAACTTCTGAAAGCCTAAAAGATGACTCAAGTTCCTTCCAGCCTCTGATTAATTTCAAATACACCAGTTCTTTAAAGGGAAGACTGTGCTGCTGCAATTTCAATTGTCTTGAAAGTCAGGATATTATAGTGGTTGAAAGGTCTTGGAGACACTCAGACTTAGGGTGGAATTCTGGTCCTAATACGTGCTGATTATGTGACCTTAGGAAAGGTGCTTAACCTTCTTAGTTTGTGTTTCATCATCTGTAATAGAAAGATAATAATACTTTAGAGAACTGTTCTAAACATACAATTTCAACAAACAAAAATGTTTACAGTCTCTGGTGCACTGATTATGACGTTGGTAATGATGATGAACGATGAGTTCCAGGGTTCTAGGTTCTCCTGGTCCTCCAGTGCAGACAACTTCTCTGTCATGTGAGGTCCCGAATGTACAGAAATTCAATCGACGTTCATGAAAACCATTACTTGGTTTTTAAGACAAAGATTTTTTTAACCATATCCTGTACTATTTTAACACAGGGTTTTTTTGTTTAAATCCTTATTTGTTTTAAGTAACTGTCACATATGCAGGGTTGCTTCTAATATACTTTTGATGAAACTGTTGCCAAGAGGAAGTATAAAATTTCATTACCTTATTCTCATAGCCTTCTAAAATTAAAAGGTAATCAGACAATACATGTGAACATGCAAAGACTAAGCAATGTTTACAAATCACCTCTATTTTAGCTGAGTTCACTAT